AATAGAACGAATACGTAAATTATTTATAAACAAATAAAATCCGCGAAAAGTCAGTCATTCAAAATCACACGTTAAAAAAATTTAGGGTTTCCCCTCCCCCTACTCCCCGTCTAATTATTATTATCATTTATCGTCAATGTAATTACGTTGTTTTTTGTTTAATATTAAGGGAGAACCTGGAGAACCGGGTCCACCGGGACCACCGGGGGTTCCTGGTCCAGAAGGATTACCAGGCCAAGATGGAAAACCAGGTCTTCAAGGAGAACGTGGAATTCAGGGTGATAAAGGAAATCCAGGAGCTCCTGGCGCTGTCGGACCTCCAGGCATTCCTGGAAACGAAGGTCTCAAGGTATTTTTTTCCCCCTAAAAAAAATTTAGAATATTTAATACAATATTTTATTTATTTTTCCACCATACATTTAAATTTTTTTTTTTTAATATTTAGGGAAGCAAAGGAGATAAAGGAGAACGAGGGCTCACGACTACCCTAAACGGTGATCAGTTTCCTACTGGGATCATTGAAGGACCGCCAGGACCCCCAGGTCCTCCCGGTGAGTAATTTTCTTTTTAAAACAAACAAAACAAACTAGTAAATAGTCATCGGTTATAAATGTTAAATTGATAAAAATTTATCAGGTCCCGAAGGACCGCCCGGAGAAAAAGGTGATGCCGGACCTCAAGGACCTCCTGGATTGCCTGGTGAAAAAGGAGCACGGGGTAAAAGAGGGAAGCGGGTAAGATTTATTTATTTTTATTTAATCAAAAAAAAGCTAAATCCTTAAAATTAAATTATGGCTTTGGCAATTAATATTAATTTTCTTTTCTTGCCTTTACATTTTTTTTTTCTTATGCGCTTTTTTTTAAAAAAAACACGGTAATGCGCTTTTGGTAAGTTTTCTTTATATATATATATTAATATTTCGCACGGTGCATGATTATATACATCCTGTAATTATGAGAATAAAAAAGGGTACCAATGCAACAATGTACATTTTAGTATTTAATATTATATTAATAATAATAATAGAATCACTTGTGCGTTTTTCACATAATTTTATTTATTTATTTATTTATTATTTAATTTATTATTAAAATAAGGTAGTGATATAAATATATATAAATTTAGCTTTATTGTAGCTTATAATAATAATAATAATGATTAACAATTAATTTGTTTTGTTTTGTTTTTTTTTTTTTTTTTAAATAATTTATTTATTTTTATTTTTTTTTTGTAATAATTTATTAATATTTAAATAAGAGTTTTTGTTGTTGTTGTTAACAAACTTTAGTAAAATGCTTTTCGTTTTTTCGTTAATTTTTTTTTTCAAGGGATGATGACGGAGGAAAAATTTTGTATTTTTATTCGCATCATCTCGATTAGTTACTATTAATGGTGTGTGGTTCGTCTTTTATTATTTCTTTTGGTGTTTTTTTATTAAGTGTGAGTATTTATTTTTATTTTTATTTTTTTGCCAACTAAAACTTAATAATTTCAATTTAACTTTTATGCGTTAAACAATTAAAAAACAAAAAAACAATAATAATAATCTCGATTAATTTTAATATTTTGTACCACGTAGGGTTTGAAGGGTGAATCCGGTGAAACGGTTCAACGAGGTTTACCAGGAATGCCTGGACCGAAAGGAGAACAAGGAACATCCGGTCCGAAAGGTGATAAGGGTGATAAAGGTGAAAATGGAATTTCAGGTATATTAATTAACAGCGGTACATCACGTTCGTTAAATTTTATCATTATTAATATTAATATTATTATTATTATTAATTTTTAGGTTCGAAAGGTGAGCCTGGATTAATTGGTTCACCGGGAAGCGATGGAATGAATGGAGAACCCGGACCCCAGGGTCCACCAGGTTTACCCGTAAGTTTTTTTTTATTAAATTCTTATTTTAATTTAAAAATTTTTAGAAAATCAAATTAAATTTTTTTTAAAAGTTGAAAATCTTATTTTTCTTTTTTTTTTTTTTCTTATTAAAAGGGACTCTCCGGTCCCAAAGGAGAAAAAGGAGATTATGGAGATATTGGACCACCGGGTCTTATGGGGCCACCTGGATTACCTGGTCCTCCTGGATATCCGGGTCCTAAAGGTGAAAAAGGAGATAAGGGAGAGTCGGTAAGAGGAATATATCAATCAAACGAATGAATATATATTTTTTTTTTTAATAATAATAATTTATTAATTAATCTTTTAAAATTTTAATTTAATTTTTTTTTTTTTTTTAAACGACTATTAACGGTCATCAGAAGTACAAAAAGCTCAGACGACGGCAGGTAAATACTTTTAAATTGTATTTTTTATTACATTCTCTCAAGTTTTAAAATTTAATATTAATGATAATAAGTGAGTTATGTAATGAATTATTGATAAATATTTTTTATGTTTTTTAATGCTTAATTAAAATGCCATTTACAAAAAAATTTCAGGGTGACGGAACATTTTCTGATGGGTTATCAGGAGGAACAATGGGTGACTTTGTAAGTTATGTCATATTACATTTATTCGTCGTTTTTATTTTTTTGTTAAATAATAATTATGATTTTTTTTTTTTTTTTTTTTTTTAGGTAATCGGACCTCCTGGCCCTCCTGGTTCTCCGGGAATTCCAGGTTTGCAAGGTCCTCCGGGTATTAAGGGTGACAGAGGAATGGACGGAGCCAAAGGTGAACCGGTAAGATAAATATTATGACGTCATTATATTAATTTATAAATATATATTTTATGTGGCCTTCGAATATGAAAATAAGTGATATACGTCATCGAATAATAATAACCTTGTAATAATAATAATAATAATAATAAATTTGTATAAAATAATTTTTAGGGCGAAAAAGGTGTTAAAGGAGATCCTGGTCCGATGGGTTTACCAGTAAGTAAAATTTTAATTTAATATCGTGATAATCTCTCCCCCTCTCTCCCTCCCTATAAACAGGATTAAAATTGATATGATTTGATGGTAGTTTAAAGATGATAATAATTTATTAATTTATTTAGGGACCCATGGGTCTTAGAGGGGAGGCTGGAAAACCGGGGGATGTAGGGAAACCTGGGTCGATGGTAAGACATGTTTATTCATAGGCTCCCTACTCGTCATTTACCAAAAGTGAATGCCATTCTCAATATTGGATCGTCTGACCTCCTACTAATATGCACATCATATTATTATTATTATTATTATTTTTTAATTGCTTGGTTTTTTATTATTATTATTTAAATACTACTGTTATTTATAAATAAATAAAAAAAAAACATTTAATGTGCAATAAGTGAATTTATATATATATTAATGAAAATTTTTTACATTTTATTAAACTTTTCATTATATATATATATATTAATATTGAGAGGGAAGAGCTTAGTATTAAAAAAAAAAAAAACATGAAATTATTCTGTTAAGTAATTAATTAATTAAAATTAAATAATGTACATATAAATAACATTTGAAATTTTTTTAAATAAAAGGCAAGTGCCATTATTTTTATTAAAAAAATAAAAATACCGTCTTATAATTAAAAAAATTATGTCAATTTAATAATTGATTCAATGTTAATTTATTTATTAATTTTTTTCATTTTCATTTTTATTTTAATTATGCAAAAAATAAAAAAGGATAGGCTAAATTTTTATTATTATTATTATTTCTTTTTTTTTTTTTTTTAAAATTCCTTAAAATAATAAAATTATATCGTACTTATTAAATTTAAATAAAAAAAATAATTTTTTTTTTTAAATTAAATTAAATAATCTGTGTTACGCGAGCAGTATTTAACAAAATTTAATAAAAAAAAAAAAAAAATATTTTTTAGATTTTAAATATAATAAAATAATAATAATAATAATAATAATAAAATTATTTATATGTCATTTAGTTGTGCTTTTAATATTTTTGCTTAACTTTATTATTGGGCAATGTAATATATATATATATAAAACCTATAACAATCTGCCCTCGCATGTTCACAAAATAAAAAAAAAAACAATTGCCAATTTGAATAATAATAATAATAATATTTAAATAAAAGACTGATTTGTAAATGCATTTTTTTTTATTAATAATAATAATAATAATAGTAATTGAATTTATTAATTTTACATAACGGCAAAATACTTTTTGAGAGATCAAAGAGAAAAAAAAAACATTTTCTTCTTCTTTTTTTTTAATTAATTTTTATTTTTTGTTATTAATGTATTCTGAACATGATGACACTTCTTTCTATTACTTTATCAATAAAAAAAATGGAATACTCAATTTATGTATAAAAATTATCTCTCTGGTTTTTTTTTTGTTTGATCTCATCAAAAAGTTTTTGCTTTTTATTAAATTAAATTAAATTAAATAATAATATTAAAATAATTAAAAAAAAAAAAAAAGCTTAGCTCAATATGTGAATTATTAATTAGTAAATGAAAATCGTTATATATATATTTTGCAATAAATAATAATATTATTTGTGTTTAATAATAATAATAAAGAACTGATGAAAAAAAAAAAAAAATTGTTTTTGCAGTGATATCATTTTAAAGGGTAAAAGAAAAAAAAGTCACAATTATTTTATTGTAGTTTAACTGTACAAATGTATTTAAATAAGTTTTAAATGAAAAAAAAAAAAAAATTAATAAAATTATTCATTTTATGTCATTATAACTTATTTGTAAGGGGTTTTGCTTTAAAGAAGTTTAAGTTTTAATAATTGATGGATTTTTTTTTATAAAAAACTACTTTAAGCAACTTCTAACAAAAAAAATTATAATATCCCTAATATTTTCATTTGTTATTGTACATCATTAATTATAATAAAATTGTACATTCGTATATATAAATATGAATATAAAAAAAGGAAGAAGAAAAAGAAAAAACATTTTAGTGTGTACTTGTGGCATTGGTATTTATTATTCATTTCTATATCATTAAAAAAAGAAAAAAAAATGAGCCACTTCCGCTTTTGGCTGTAATTTTCTTTATTTTCCTTTTCAATAGCACTTTTCTTTTTTTTTTTTTTTTTTTATTGTAAACCGTGAAAAATAAAAAAATTTGTATATTTAATTTTATATTTTATTTTAGGGACCTCCTGGTCTCGATGGGATGAAGGTGAGATTTTTTAATTTATATATTAATGTGAAATTTTTTTTTTATTTTATTTATATTGAAATTATCTGATAAATTTTTTATTATGTGAATTTTATAGGGAGCTCAAGGAGAACCCGGAAATAAAGGAGAAAGAGGAGATCCAGGTTTACCTGTATGTATTTATTATTATTATTTTTAAACCTGTAATATTATATTTAAAAAAAAAAAAAAAAAAAAACTAAAATGATTCTATTAAAAAAAAAAAATTTTAAGAAAAGAGGAAAATTTTTTTTTAACTTTTTCTTTTTCTTTTCAATTATTTTTAGGGAACAGATGGAATTCCAGGTGCAGAGGTACCCTTTATTAAATTATTTTATTAAATAAAAGCTTACGAAATAGCATGGATTTCGTTTTATTCTCTTTTGCATGAATTATATATTAAAGATAATAATAATAAAATTAAATTAAATTAGAAATGAAACAAAAGAAATTGAAATTAATTTATTTTTATTTCAGGGACCGAAAGGTGAAAAAGGTTCAAAAGGAGAATCCGTAAGTATTTTTCTTTTTTTTGCATATTTTCAAGGCGATGATCGCCATTAATAAAAATTTTATTATGTTTGTACAGGGACCCATTGGAAAAAGAGGAAGAAAAGGAGACAAAGGAGATAAAGGAGAACAGGGAGTTCCTGGATTGGATGCACCTTGTCCCATCGGTCCCGATGGTTTACCACTGGCTGGATGCGGATGGAGAAATTCAAAGGTAATTATCTTTTTTTTCATTTTATTTTTATGAGGGACATTTGAAAGAATTTTTTTTTTTGTTTGGGGGATTTGTGAAATAGAGAGAATCCGAAGATGCCACTAATAGTCCTGGTAATAATCAACAGTCAAATAGTTTTGATTCCGTCATAGATAATGATTATGAACATGGTGACGATGGTGGAAATGATTATGAGGATTATCAAGAACATATTAATTATGATAAAAATAATCATAAATATCATTGATTAAAATCTAAATAATTCTCATCAATTGTTAGTGTTTAAAAAAAAAATGGCGGAATATCATTGAAAAATCACCTTGCTTATTTTGTAAATATCTGTACTTATTTAATTAAGTTACAAAATAATTTTTTTTTTTTTTTTTAAAACGAAAAAGATATTTTTGGCAAAAAAAGGAAAAAAGGAAAAAAAAGTTATAATTAGTTAATCATAATCGAATTATCATAGATTATATATTGAATATTGATCACAGCAGTGTTGTTAATTGTTTTATATGCCATTAATAACCATAAAATGACTGAGGTTAGTTCATTTGTTTTTAAAAATTCAACGTTACTTATTATATTAATAAATAACTTTGTTTAATAATAAATTTTGGTCCGGAATCCATTTTTTATTAATTAAATATAATTTTAAAAATAGTTTGAAAGCTTAGATTGTGTATAATTTTAGAGCTTGAGAATGAATATAATAATTTATAATAAAGGGAAAAAATAATAATAATGTGTAGTTTATTATCTTGGGGGAAAAAAAGTTCTTACTATAACTGTTAGTTTGTGCTACTATAAGTCCTTGTTTTAACTTTTGACATCGTAATTAACAAATATTATTTTAAATGGTGAAAGATAAAAAAATTTGGTGTACAAATTTGAAAATTTAACAGTTGCATATAACTTGTCGAGGTTTATGTGTATTATAACAAGTCCTCTAAGACTAAATCTTGATTTATTCATTTTGTACCCTTATAAAGTAAACTCATTCATCAACACTAAATAATGTGCTATAAATTTGAATAGGATTTTCAAGGCATAAAGAATAGCAATTGTGATGTATATGCATGGATTATTACGAGTAATAATAATGTGGACGTTTTGATTTTTTATATATTTTTTAACAATTGTCAATGATGATATTTATATGAATAATGATGTTTTATTAATAATTTTTTAAAATAAAGGTTTCGAATAAAATTAAATAATTATTATGTTTAACTTTTTAAAAATATTTTTATTTCAAATTTTATAAAATATTAGTTCAAGTTTATATAAATCACAATTAAAGTCAGTAAAAATTGTTTTTTTTTTTTTAAATATAATTTTTAGACTTTAAATAACTTTAACTTTTTAAAATAACTTTGAACTTCTTCTTTGGGATAAGGTTTCAAAACTAAACATGTTGGTATATTTTCTGGCTTTTCGATCCATAACTTATGCTTAATTCCATTTTCAGACAATTGATTGACTAATGTTTTGATGGATTCTTCATCTGGAATCTAAAAAACAAAAAAATTTATTTATATTAATAAACAATTACACTGAAAACATTATTTAACTTTTTTTTTTCTTTTTAAATGAAAAACTAAAATAAAGAGACTATTGTTTTTATTAAAATAAATAAATTTGGGTAATATTTTTTTTAAACTGAACATAAAAATAAGTCACGAAATGATTAACGATAAAAATTAACGTAATTAATTGATTAACAATTGTTATAAGTTTAAAAATAATAATTTATTGATAACTTTTTAATAATTTATTAAGAAAAAAAAAAAATTTTTACTTCAGGTGTAAAATGTACATACTTCTAAAACTATTTTATGCATTGAATCTAAATCTTTAAGATATTCAACAGTGATGGGATCATCTTTGAAAGTATGCACTACAGCGGCAGTAGCGTGACAAGCCTGAGCGATAATAGCACCAGCTGTCCATTTTAAAACGTTTATCAAATCCTTTCGTATAATAACATACTGCACAAGTGCACTACTATTATTCATTTTTTCGTAAAATAATTTGAATAGTTGCTGCCACGACAAAAAAACAGTTTGCCGCCATTTTGATCAGAAACACTCATACGTTAGTTTGATTTTAAACTCAGAGCATCATTTGTCGTTGCGTCTTATTTACTAAACTTACGATGAGTAATTTTTTATTTAATTTATTTTTTATTATCTCCGTATTTTTAATATTTATAAGTGTAACATGAATACTTGTACACCTTTTTTTTTTTTTTTTTATTTTTTATAAGTAAACTTTCATTTGAAAATATTTTCGAAAGATGTTCAGTAAATTCTTTTTGATGATATTTAATTATTAAATATTGAAGAAATATTTAATTTAATGTTTAATTACATTTTTAAAATAAAACCCTTGTTTATTGAATGTGAATTTTATTTCATTTATTCTCTGATCGACTGTAAATTTTGATGTAATTTATTTATTTTTTTTTAAATTAAATAACCGTATTGTATGTAATAATAATAATAATAGTAATTTTTCAGTAGAACATGGGTCCAAAAAAAGAAATAAAAAAACCATTGGAAGTAGTTCTTCCTTCAATTGATAGTCCTGTAAATACTGATGAATGGCGTTGCGCTGTTGTAATGGCTGTAGAAAAGTCCTATAGTGACAACTTTGTTTTGAAAGAGTTTGAGGAAGAAGCATCTAGTAAATGTCGTCGTGACGTTACTTTAATAAGTTATGATCATTTGGTTTTAAAGATATTACAAGATTTTATTAATGGTGAACTTCCTTTTAAGTACAGTTATTTATTGCATTTTTCATCCATATTCCAAGAAGCAGCAGAATATATTAAAAGTAAAAGTGAGATCCCCGTCCAGTTACTGGTAAAAGTTGTAAAAGTTCTATTGTATTTTTACAGAGAAGAGAGTTTAAAAATTATTGCCAGTAACCAATTGGGACCTAAAGATCCTGTGAGGATCATGATGGAAAGACCTTATGTCAGTGGTGCTGTTTCAAAAGATGCAAAATCAAACATAAATAAAAAGGAACAGCGGAAAGGGAAAAATCAGTTGAATGAACAGAATGCAGGAATTAAATTAAGACCTCCAAGTTTTGCAAAAGAGGGGACAAAACTTTTAAGAAGAGAAGAGATAGCCAAAGAAACAGTATTCAAATGTATTGATGATGCTCCTTATGATGGTTATTTTAATTTATATGTCTTGCTAACAGGGTTCTACAATCCCGAATTTCCCATGGAATTGATCAAGGCTCAAGTTCCATTGCATCAAGTATTGTGCATCGACACAGATTTCTCTGGTGTAAAATATACAGAATCAGCAAATTTTAAGAAAACAAATAAGAAATCTATGCAAAACAAACCTTATGAAATACAATTATTTTGGGATGATTTTTTAAAAATGCTTTGGAGCCAGAAAAAAAAAATATTTTTCAAAGATGTAATTTTTCAAAAGTACATTCCTAGAAAATTAGGATGCGAATACAAGCAACGTCGAGAATTTATTTACAGAGAAATAAGTTATTTGATGTATGATTTGTCAGAGTACAAAAAGCACCATCTTAATTATTTGAAAAATATGAAATTGTGGGACGTTTCAGAAGAAAGTGATGATGATGAAATGAAAAAAAGATTAGGTAGTATTAGTTATGAATTACCCGATGAGTGCATAACCATACCAGTCGTTTTGCAAAATATTTTAAATATTCTTTCGCAAACATCCGAAATGAACGATTCAGATAATTCATCTGAAAATAGTGTTGATTCAAGAACTGATACAATAAATTTGGTTTTTCCCGAGAGTGACATGTTTGAATTACCATATTCTGCAGTGATGCCCCTTTGGAGTCAAATTATAAAAAATTCGGGAAATATCAATAATTTGAAAGTTTATTCAAAATTAAAAGAATTAGATTTAAAATATTACATATGTGAAAATACTTTAAAAAGGAAATCAGTTCAAAAACAAAATGTCAGAGAAAGATCTCGTTGCGAATGGAGTCATCAGAAAATAAGTAAAAATTTGGCTCAAGCTTTAGATTGCAACGGAACGTTTGCCTCTTATTGGACCAAATATAAAAAAAGTGGGAGTTTAAGAAGTTCTTCTTTTTCAGCAGTCTTAGATTATTCCCTGTATGTGTTCCTTGCTTCAAAACTTATTTGCCCATTTGAAGAGCCCAAATTGAAATCGTCGCCGAAAACTGCACTGAGTGAAATAATACATTTGAAAAAAAATTCTAGTTTTGAATTAATAAAAAATCTGGATAAGGAATTTCGAAAGCCTCATTTTACAGTGACCGATTGTTCTCGAAATGTCGTCAAGTGCATACCTTGGAACCTTAAAAATACCGACAGAGATTTTTTTTGCCCTCAAAAATTTAAAATAGTAACTCCAGAAAAAGTGAAAACTAGTTCGGCTCCAGAAATTCGTTTGCCTGTGTGTTTCATAAATGAAGCATCTTTTATTAGTGATTTTTATGTATCAGAAGAAGCTAAAGAAAACATAAAATGGACCGCGTATACAGATATGACGAATTTTTGTAAAAAAAACAATTTTTTAAATGCAAACGGATTCAATTTCGTTGAAGAACTTAACAAAACAAAACTATTGAAAAAAAAACAAAAATATTGGAACGAATTTAATTGCATCGATCACTCGTATTCCGTTTTAACGGATTCCATTTTCATGAGAGCTCACAACAAAAAAAATCCAAATAATTTTTTCAGCGAAACTTTTAATCAAAGTTTGAAATCAAGAATCGGATTAAGAGATTTTTTCGAATATATTTTAGAGGATGAAAGCAATTGGATTTCACACCAAGAAATACTATCGGAAAAAAAAAATCCAACCCTCGTCCAAAATACATTATTTAAAAGTTCATTTGACGCATATTCAGATACAGATTTTTGGCTTGAAAATTCCATAAAATATCAAGAATATGTTAAATTAACCGGAAACGTATTAAAAATAAAAAAAGATGATTATTTAAGAAAAAAATCCGTTGGAAATAAAGAAATTGTTAAATTAAAAAGTTCGGAAAAATTTTCGGATGCTCACGGAAGCATCATCGCGCAGGAAAATTCAAATGAAAAAAATGAAAATCAGTATTGTTTCGAAGGATACAATGTCGACGAAGTAGCAGTTCAATTTTCAGGTATCAAAACCGAATACTTTGTTCAAGACTGTAGCATAACCGTCGATCTATTGGAAAGACTATACGGAAAACAACATTTGGGAGTACACGTTCGTCACGGAGGAAACACTCTTCATTTGTACAGTTACGTTTGTCCGGAACCGCACATCGTTCTTCCCTACACATTTCATTTAACATATAAAAATGGCATCATATTATCATTTGGTCAAAGGCTCCTCAAAGAAACGATAGACACGCAAGAAGTAGAACAATTATCAACTGATTTTGATTCGCCGAAATCAAACGAAACGTTAAACAATTGCAAAATAAGGGAAGACGAACGGTTTGCTTACGATTTGAAATTATCCATACCGAACGGTTTAATGGTTGAAGTTGTTCCGAACATAGTTGAACCCTGTTACATAAAACAATATTTTCTCAATGAGTCGTCAATTAATGATGTTAAAAATGAAAATTGTAGAATTTTTTTACCCAACGGTAACGTGATATCAATAAAAAAAGATAATACGTTTATTATATTAAAGGGAAACACGTCCATTGTGTCGGGTTCTTTGAACAATATCACAAATGAAACAATGGATGATGAAAAATTAAAATTGAAAAAATATAATTTGATCACGCCGATGAGCTATAATAAAACAATTGAAAACGGAATCGTTAAATCTTCGAAAAAAATTCAAATTTCCGAACACATCGACATTGAATCGAAACAAACATTTTATAGACGAATGGACGGCACTAATTACGTCATTAAAAATGACGGATCAATTTCCGTTCAATTTAAAGATAATACAAAAATATCACGTTGTCCTTTTTTCGGAGGGGAATCATTTAAAAATGATGCAAAGGAAAGCATCGCCGAATATTTTACGGATTCCGAGGAAATAGATTTTACCATCATTTACGAAGAAATAATCATCGAACATCCTTCGTACGCGACCGTTATTTATAATTCAAGATATCGAGAATGGAAAATTATACTTCCGGATGAGTCGAAAATAACGGTCAAAAAAAATGGATACTATTCCGTTATAATAGATAATCGAACCGAAATGAAAATCAATAAAGATTTAATACACATGAATAGATATTCGACGGATTTAAATTTGATATGTCGCGTGACCGTTAATCCAAACGTTTTTTCCGTTGACAACGTGGAAAAAATTTATTGTAAAATGGTAAACGAAACGTTGGGAGAAACGTTCATCGTCGAATCTAATTCAAATACTTACATATTGGCAAACGAAAAACAAAATGGTAAAATTAATGCAAGCCAAAAAATGAATTACCAAACTCCGCCGGAAAATGTCATGGAAACAAAAGGGAATAAATTATCGTTGGAAAATAAATATTTCATATTGAGAAAAGATTTTTCCGGGATTCAAATCCTTCACGTGGATGACGTAAGAAAAACTTTATTAGAATTAGAAAAAGGAACTTTGGTGTACGTTCAAGAATTTGACGAATTGAAAAAGTTGCGATGTTTTGTCATAATAACTCCCGTTTCCGAGGATTATTTTCAAGAAGTTTACAACGAAAAAATGGAATGGAAAACAAAATCAATCATTCCGAATCCTGTACACAATTCAAAAAATTCAGAAACTTTAATAAGTTCGACTTACGGAGTTCCGCCATCTTGGATGCATCCATTTCCGAAAAAAAGAAAAAAATTTGTCGTACCTGAAAATTTAACTTGTAACGTTTTCATTGAAACAAGTAAAACAAATTTACAACCGGGTAACGGATCCATTGATCATTTTTTTTGCGAACACGTTGATTCAGATGATTATGATATTTTATGGAAAACCAAGTGTGGTGATAATAATAATAAAAAAGAAGATTTTATTAGAAGATTATCAGACGACGATCAAATATTATTAAAAAAAATGTACAGTCGAGTTGCAAGTAAATTAATAAATGAGAAAAAAAAATTAAGGCCTTTTAATCAGGAATTATTGGATCGTTATTTGAAAATGAGTAAATATTACAATGAATTAAGGGATTATCATAAAAATTCAATCAGGTATCACACAATTCCAAATTATTTTCAACATCCTGCTGGTATGTCTTGGCTTTTGATCGATTCTTGGATTAACGAATTAAAATTAACGGAATCTAAAACGAAACTTCCGGAAACTGGTCCGGAAACTGTTTCGATTGATTCATTAAAATCTCATTCGACATTTTCAAACGAAGAAATTGAATATAATTTATCTGTGTCATCGATAAAAAGTTTTTCCGATTTAAATTATTATTCTGATTTATCGGCAAAAAGTGGGCCCCCGAATATACATGAGAAAAATGTTTGCACTTGTAAAGTTAAACCCGTGATGAGAAATGCTATATCGGCCCCCTTGTATTTATTTAAAGATAAAACGAATGAACCGGTTGATAATTTTGAAAAATCTCAAAATATATTGCAAATGTTTAACGAATTTAATCAAAATGATGGTTTTAAAAATATTCACGCTGATAAGAAATTATTACCGTCAAAACCGAAAATTCAAACAACAACAACATTATCACCATCATCAACATTATCATATACTCCACCGTCATTACCATCACCTTCATTTCCATTTTTATCACCATCATCATCGTCATCATCATCATTATCAACATTAACACAATCATCATCATCATCATCAACGCATTTACCACCAATCATTTTAAATGATTTAATGACTTTAGGATTAATTTAACTAACAGACGATATTTATTGACTTTATTTATATAAAAATATAAAAAAAATTTTTTTTTTTTTTTTAATAATTTTTTATTAATTATAAAAGAGGGGAGGGAAAGAAGTACATTTAAATTTAAAAAAAAAAAAAGAAAGTTATTTATACTTATATAAAACAATTTATACAAAAAAAAAAAATATTTAACTTTGTGTTGCCGTCGATTCGCCGCAATCTCTAAAAACCTGAGACGGTTGTTGTTTTAAATTATCTTTTTGAACGAATCGAACGCTTTCGTAATTGGGTTCATGTAAACCGTCTCCATCAAATTCGTTATTTAAACTTTCGTAGGTCGGCTCACAATTAAGTTCGTTATATTTTTTTTCACTTGTTTTACCAATTTCCATTTTTTCATAATTCGGTTCATCAACTTTATCCTTATCTTTTTTTTTATAAACTTTTGCATAATCACAATCTCTCGAGTTTGAATTTTCTTGTGGTTCGACCCTTGCGTATCCGTCGCTTTCGTTGGCATCTATTTTAGAATAAATTTCGTTATCTTGGGAATCCACTTTGACTCTGGTGTAACCGTCGCTTGCATCGCTGTCCATTTTATCAAAATTAAACGAATTATCCGTTCTTTCGATGTTGACGTAATCGTGTTTCTGTGGTTTCAATTTTTCATATTCTGGTTCCGATTCTGACGACTGGTTTTTGTTAACCGTTTCGTAACATCCGTCGTCATCTTCATCGTCGTCGTCATCGACCTGTTTATCGTAATCGAAGGAATCGCATCCTCCTAATTTCTCGTATCCCGATTGTAAATCTTTATCAGAAATGGGAGATTCCGTGGGGAAAAGACCATTGGACGAAGGGGAATCCGTTAGAGGTGATTTACTAAGGTAACTGTGACACGAATGACTACTTTCGGTCGTATTCGTTTGAAGTTTAAAACTTAAAGAATCGGAACTTTCGCTAACTCCGCTTTCTGTGCTTCCTCCCCTTCGAACAAAAACAATAATAATAATAATAATAATTTATCCTTTTTATAAAATTCTATGGGGAAAAAATTGTGTAAAAACAACTGAACAAACCTTTCAAGAGAATTAATTTCACGACGATTTTTCTTATTCACTTTAGCATACATATCTTCGAGATTTTTCGGAGAACCAGAGGAGGATTTTGCATTTTTAAATGCAGTTACAAAAACATCTTCAACGGAATCGGGATTTTTAGTCGGAGTCGGGGGAAGAGGAGAATTGAAAGGCCTCTTTTCCGGTTTAGGAGAACCGATAATAGTAGAACTCGCGAGACTCGATGATGATGCTAAAAATTCATTATATAATAACATTAATTAACAATCTTACAAACGCTCCTTCTTATTCTTAGATTTTAACAACATTTAAATTGTAAATTTACCTTGTCTGGAATGAGGTTGAGGAGAAATTGTTATTTGCTTGAGTATATCAACACTGGGAGGCTGGGGAATGTTTTTTAACTTTGTAAACCCTGTATGAATTTGAGCATAGGTTTCACTCTCACTTGTGTAAATTTGACTTGGATCCTCAATGGCTGCATACATATCATCAGAATCATCTGATACTGTTGCATAATGTGAATCTACACGGCGTGACGGTGATTTACTTTCAGCTAAAATAGCTGATAAAGGCTCTCTCACGCTAATACTGGTGTATCCTTCTGTAATTTTTTAAAAAATTTTCAATGACTTATTTTACATCTTTTATTATTTGATGATTTTATGTTAAATTTTATGAGTAAAGATTTTATTTTATTTGCTGGTTCACTTACTTCCAGAATCCTGAGAATCTCCACTGAAATGAGCAGGAGGAGTCATATAGGGAAGATCATCATTGGCTGTGACGTTTCCAGTGATGGCATTAGCTGCAGGAATAACAAAGTTTGATTCACTTTCAGGCTGGTTAGAACTTAACCTTTTAACTTCATCATGTTCAGGTGTTTCAACTTCTTTGTGACTTTTATTGATTGATTGTGATGTATTATTTGTTCCTTGATTAGTATCAAGATCGTTTACCTGAATAAAAATTAAGTAAGTACAAAAACATATAAAACATGAATTACAAACCCAAATGATTTTATCTTACTTGAGCATAGGGATGTTCAATTTTCTTGAGTTTGTCATAAGGATGATCTTTATTGCTGGGACATGCTGCCGATTGGCTGCCTGAATCAGAATCGCTTTTTTGCCTTGCAAAATTTTTGTTTTTTTCATCCTGTAAAACAACTGTTGCATATAATTCAGAGACTGCATCTCCGTTGGGTTCCCATGTACTGTCTCCTCTGTTGGAAACATTTAAGTCTACAGGTAAATCAGGTAGACTTCTCTTGGCAGTTTTTTGAACTTTCTCAGTTAATAAATCTGCTGATATATTATTTGCATTTACTTCTTCTTTAAATTCATCTGGGTTGGTGATTCTGACTCTTCCCTCTACCCCTGTGAGCTCATCTCTGAAAATAATCAACACATTAATTTGAAACGAAACACAAAAAGTTTTTTCTCACAAACACTGAAAATATTTTCAAGCATTACTTTGGCTGTTTAGTCCTACATCCAAAAGTACAAATAAAAGTTATTGAAATGAGGCAAAATGTACCGAAAATACTAGCAGGTATGGCAACAACCCAATTTACTTCTGCAAGCATTTTTGAAAAGGTACCAAATGCCTATAGTATTATAATTTGTCTTCTTCATAGGTGAGCGAATGAGCCGAAAAATTATTAATCCAAAAATATCAATCAATCTGATTTAAAATGATTAGCTAATTTTAAAATAAAAAAATTCAAATCGAAAAATAATTAATAACTGGGGGCGTAATGTCATGATTCACAATAACCCAGTTTCTTTAATTAATAAACTAAATTAGAAATTATAGTATTTTAGTGTAAACAAATTGCATGCAACTAAAAAAAACGAAATTTTAATTTTTTAAACGAAATCAAATTTATCGGAACTAACTAATTAGTACACGCTGTATGAAAACAATAAACAAAATAAAAAATTAGGGCAGTGCGCCATGTTTCATTTAAAAAAGAATTTGTCGCAACTTTTATTCACAATTTTGCTACACCTTAACTGTACACTGTATAGAAAACTTAATTTAACCGTTAGAGATTTACACACACGGCTTTAAGTTATTCGATTCTTTAATTCTTTTATTAAAAACGGTTGATTGAATGCTGAAGGAGATTTCATCAGTCAAAAAAATACTTTTTTTTCGTACGTGTTTACTTTTACAAAAATTCTAATGTCTAATATTGTTAAGAAAAAGCCATTGACTAAAAATTTAAGTGCACCAGCACTCAATCATAACAAATGCTGCGAACATTGGAAAAAAGTTAAAAAAGTTCATTTTGCGGAAGAAAGTTTGGAAAATAAAAAGAAATCAGACGATCAACATTTTGATAATCCAAAGTTTTTCACCGTTTTGCAATTAGCAAAAGAAGTTGAAAATATTCGAAAAATGCAGTGCTCAGCTCCGTGTGCTTCACACAAATTGGGTTTAAAAAATTTAAATTTTATGCCCGATGAAAAAGTTTTTCAAGACTTGGTAGAATTGCGACTCCCGGAAAAAGAAGTTGTTAAAAGTTCTAGAAGTCTAAGCAGTTTAAAAAGTATTTCAAAAAAAGATCCTGAACCCAATTACAGTGATCTTTTAAAATTGAATTCTTCTGTGGGGTATGTATTTCTTTCTAGTGCTAATCCTGTTGTAAAAAAACAAACTCTTACTTTCGAGGGCTGTTCATTATATAAAAGAGTAAAAGTTTGGAAAGGAAAAGATAATTATTTTTAATTTTTTTCAAAGGCTCAAATATTTTTAAAATCTAACAAAATGTCTTAATTTTCATTCTCAATTTTAAGACATTTTTATTTTATGTTATTTTAATTTTTTTTTTTTTAAAGCTCTCGTAGTTTTAAGTTTACCTCTGAGTAAAAAATTTGACTCAGGTTAACAATTTCATCTATTTATTGTAAAAAAATCATTTGTATAAAATTATGTAAAAAGTATATTGATAAAATTTTTTTTCATATTGTACATAGTAAATTGAAATAAGTATAGAGTCACTTTTAAAAACATACATAATAATGATAAATTTTTATAAACTTTTCATTCGCATTCAAACCAAATTTTATATTTTTTTATTTTTTTTGTCTGATAAATTTCTACATATGAGAGATATAAGTATTTTCACATAAAATTATATGTTGATTTGTACATATTTCAATAAATGACTTCATGTTTTTTGTATGTGTGCATACTTTCGACTGTTGCTGATTGTTTTTTTAATTTATTGAAATTTAAAAACTTCTCATATTGCTAATTTCTTTGCAAATGATATTCTATTCCCTTGTTGCCATATTATTGTGATAAGATAATTCCTCAAACATTTCTTTACCATGATTATGTTTAACAAAATTTTATAATCAAATTTTAGTTTAATCGTAGGATTGCATATGGAATTATAATATTAAAGCGTTAATTATATAAATTGTACATGTTCTTTGACCTTGTGATCAAAATGTGTTTGACGATAATTTTTTTTTTTTTGAAGTTATAATTTATCTTCATTTTAACTTTTTAAAATTTATTCTAATGAATAGTTTAAGGTACTACCTTATTCCATTTTTATTTAAAGTTAATCATTCCTTTAAAAAAGGTAGTAGGATAGAAATTTAAATGATTGTTTTTAAAAAAAAGAAATATTTCAAAAAATAGTATTGTTAATATAAAAAAAAAAATTTACTATAATTTATTTGATTTTTATTATTTTTTTTTTTATAAGCATAATATCAATAACTAAAATTAAAATTACAAAATATTATTATTATTATCATTGGCTTTATTCGCACATTGTAAAATATTCATACTTGTTTATATATATATATATATAAATATAAAATCTTTGTATGCATAAATAAGTATAACTATATATAATATACAAGGATTATTTTTATAAACATTCATTTATATAGTAAAAATCAATGAATTGACTAGAACACTAACACATAACAAATTTATTAAACATATTATTATTGAATTTTTTTTTTAAAAAAAAAACAAACACAAATATATAAAAATTAGGGAAAAAAAAAAAAATTAAATAATAATGTTAAGTTTGCTTAATACAAAATAAATAGAACCCAAAATAAGATTAACTTTTAAATAACTTATAATAATAAAATTAATTTAAAAAAAAAAAAAAAAAAAAAAAAAAACAATCGTAATCCATCTTGTTTGAATTTTTATAGTTTCTACTTTTAAAAAGGGGTATTTGAAAAACCTTAATTGAAAATTTCAATTTTAGGTGCAAAAGGTATATTTAATAAATAAATGCTTCAGTTCTGCCCCCCAAAAAAAAAAAAAAAAAAAAAAAACTCTTAAATGTAGACAAATATATATATAAAATGTATGTTGTAGAAATTTTGTGCACAATCGATAAGATATTTTTTTTTTTATTCAGCATTAATTTTTTCACTTATTGATTAGTACCATATAAAAATTACAATAATATATTAAATTATTATTAATTATACATATTATAATAAAATTAACACCATTATAAAAATATATGTAGTAGAAAAAATTTTATAAAAAACTTTTTTTTTTTTATATACTTTGATGCAAAACGAAATGAGAAAATCAATATTATCAAATGTAAATAATAAAAGTCATGCAGATTTTATAATCATATAAATGAGAGAAATTGAGAAAGAGAGAGAGAGAGAGAGAGAGCACAAAGTATAAAAGTGAGCATTTTTAAATATTAAGTTTTTCCTTTAAAGAGAGAGAGAAAAAAAAAAAGTTTATTTATTTTTCTTATCGTTTCTTTTAAAAACAAATATAAATTTCAATTAAAGTTTAAAAAAAAAAAAAAAATGACTATAAGGGTTAATAATTGATATTAATAAATGGTGAATCCCCAACCCAAATTTTTGGCTAAATTTTAACCGCCCCCCTTTAAATATTTTTTGATTTTAAAGGTTAGGGAAGGTGGTTTTTGCCAACCTTCATAGATTGTAAGTTTTTTTTTTTTTTTTTTTTCCATAGTTAATTTAAAACTTGATGATAAATTTCTTTCTTTAAAATATTATAAAATCTGAATAAAAAAAAAAAAAAAAAAAAAAACTATTTTAAATGAAGTTTATAAAACATTCTCTAAAGCATTTTTGTAAAAAATTTGTCTACATAAAAAAAAAAAAAATTTGTTTTTATGTTTGAATTATTTTTGATGAGTTCAAATATTTTTTTATTAAAACTGAAACTTAAATTTCAAACATATTTAAAACTAAAATAAATACTAGGACTCAGATTAATAAACATTAAAATATTTACATTTTTATGAACACCTTGTTCTGCTTTTAACTCTCGCAACAAGAATGCATTCAAATTCTTTTAATTATATTATTATAAAAAAATTTTTAGTTCTAAATAAGGCTACATTTTCTTTGCCTGTGTTTGATTGGCTCTGGTCTTAAAACAGCCCTAACTGCTTCGTCAAACACTTGTTTTAATCCCCTTTGAGTAAGAGCAGAACACTCCATGTATTTAACTGCTCTTACTTTATTCGCTAATTTTTGCCCCTGTTCTCTTTTTATAGGAGATAGACCTTGTTCTGCTAAAACTGTTAAAGTTTCTCTATCCTCTCTAAGATCCATTTTTGTGCCAACCAATATCATCGGTGCATCCGGACAATGATGCTTTATTTCTGGATACCACTTAGATGTCACATTTTCAAATGATGAAGGACTGGTCACACTAAAGCATATTAAAAAAACATCTGTTTGAGGATAAGATAGTGGACGCAGTCGATCGTAGTCTTCCTGACCAGCAGTGTCCCAGAGTCCAAGACTTACTGGGATTCCATCAACAACCATGGGTGCTGAATAGTTATCAAACACTGTCGGTACATATTCTCCGGGAAAACTATCCGTTGTGTACGAAATTAACATACAGGTTTTTCCAACTGTTCCATCCCCTACCACGACACATTTTATTGGCCGACCGGAAGACATATCTGTCTAGAACAGCAAAAAGCTATGATTAAACTGGCAACTGAAAATAAAAATGCCATTAAAAATACGTAAATACGTTAAATAATAAGTGCAAAACAATGGAAATAATTATTATAAAATAATTACCAACTTATTACGAATTCAAATCATTTGATTAAATGAGTTTTACCTCAAGCAAGTAACTTTAAAAAAAAAAAAATCACACCCTTGCGGTCTGTATCACTAAAGTAATAAATAAGTATCAAGGTCAGTGTGAACAAATTTTTTTTTTTTTTTTTTTTCAAGCGGCGACAAATCTTTTTCTCTGCGTTCACGACTTTAGGTGACTTATTAAAAAACAAACTTCTGCTACGTTCAGTTGCGTGAAACTAATTTAAATTTGTAATTTATATAAAATGTAAAAATTTTTCATTTAGTTGAAAATGAAAGTTTCCATTTTGGAATGCCTTTGGTCTATTGCGTTCATTCAATTGTGTACAGCTTTGTACGAGGATCAAATAGGCAAATTTGAATGGTATAAAAAAAAATTTAATTTGCATTAATTGTAATTTGCCAAATGATTTGCGTATGCGAAATAAATTACTTTCACATGTTTCCTTCCTTTAACTCAATTCATTTTAAAAATAGATCTTTTTAATTAAGAGGGGTGTTTTAAAAATCGATCTGTAATCTCGACTTATTTAAAAATTAATATTTTATTTTGTTTTTTTTTTTTAGGCGTCAGCAATACACCGGTAAATTAAAATATTCCCACTTTGATGGGAAAAAATTAATAGTAGCCACCGAAGAGAATGTTCTTGCAGCATTAAATACAAAAACAGGTGATGTTATTTGGAGACAAATATTAGAGCCTGATGAAAATGGATGTATTAAGTTATTTGAAGTTGATAAGGAAATTCTTACAGTATCAGGTTCTGTTTCGCCATTAATAAGGGGTTGGGATATAGAACATGGGTATTTACTTTGGGAATGGGGTTTATTTACTTATAATGAATTTACAAATTGGATAAGTATCAAACAAAAATTGATACAAATAGACTTTTATGCACATTCTCACTTTGTGGCATCAGTTTATGATGCACCATCAGGGAAAAAATTAAAATCCCATGCCATACCTGCAAATTGGCTAGTACCCGAACAGTGTGTCATTCAAAACAATGTGATTGCTTGTATAACCAGTGATAAAACATTATATAGTGTGAAATTAAAAGATGATAATAATGATATTGGAATAAGTATTCAACATAAATCACTTTTTGATTTATTCAAAGGAGAAGTTATTGGTAAATTAAAGCCAATGATTGGAAAGTTACCCATTGTTAGTGTAAGAGTGTCTGACAGAAAGAAAGCTATATTATTACATCCAGAAATTCAAGTAATTAATGCTGAAAATGAAAATACAACAATTATCGGTTCTTCCATCATGGATGGAAAGGGAGTGAATGTAGCTTTTTCATTAGACAATGAGGTAAAAAATTTAATGTATTTAAACGTAGGTTATTATTTATTTTCTTTGTAATTATATTTTAACACATCATTTTCATTTTTTTAATTCATAAAATTATTTCATTTCAGTTATTGCATATAGTACCATTTACAGTTGATGGCAAAGAACTTCCAGAGTTTGGTTGCAGTTTAAATTTTGATTCACTTCATGGGGAGCCTGAATTTGTTTACCTCTTTTGTCAACAGCGTAAAGAAAAAAATTCAATATGCAGATATCTCATCAGCACTAGTCATGATGTTGTTTTATTACTTCAGCAGCCGGGGAAAATTTTGTGGTCAAGAGAGGAGTCTTTGGCTTCAATATTGAGCGTGGAAATGATAAGCTTACCAGTTTCAGACACTGATGCAGCTATAGAAAAAGAATTTAATGATAAAAACTGTAAGTACAAAAGAAAAAAAATTTCCTAAATCATAAATTAATTTAATTTTTTTTTTTTAAGTATTTCCTAATAAATTTATTTTGTTTAGCTTTACCTAATTCTGCACTTTCAAGTAAGTAGGAAATTGAAAAGTTTTTAAGAATTATTAAATTGTTCATACAAATCCTGATCTAAAATAATTTTTTAAAATATTTTGTCTGATTAATTTCTTTATATATTTTTATGTTCTTTTATGAATTTCAGGTGGTTTTTTTGGAATGTTCTTCCGCAGAATATTTAATCAGATATGCCAATTGCAAAACTTCTTATTGATTATATTTGGATTTTTGAAAGGATCATCAATCAGGAGCCTTAACGAACCCATGGTTCAAGATGAATTTGGTCTTCATAAATTGATAGTTGTGGCGACAAAGTGTGGTAAAATATATGGTCTTGACAATTTGAGTGGAAAAATTGTCTGGCAAATAAAGGTAGAAAATGCAGAGCCTTTTTCAGCAGAAACATCTTCACCAATAATGCCAATGTATTTAATTAGAAACACTAGACACTACCCCCTCCCATCAGAATGTGTCGTTTTAGTTAAATATAAGCCAACCGGGGAAACTGGTTTGGTCAGATTTAATCCCATTACGGGATCCGTTGTTGGCTCGAGCCCGATTATGTTATTAGGAATCAGGGTAAAACAATCTTTGTTACTTCATCAAATGGATAGTAACTTTTATAAGGGTATCGTTCTTTTAGACGAAAATAATCGTGTTTTCGTCTATCCGGAATCATCCAAGTCGGTCGTTTTATCAAATCCATCTTCGATATTTATTTTCACGGCTAATACTGATTCAGGAATTTTAGAAGGTTTCACTTTAGCCACAACGGAAAATAATACCATTATTAGTAGTATGATATGGAGAGTTAATTTGGGAAACAATATCATTGCATTAGTGGGAAAAAATCATAATGAAAAAGTTCATTCCCAAGGGAGAGTTCTTGGAGATAGAAGCGTTTTATACAAATACGTTAATCCAAATCTTATAACTGTGGTTACTCGAGCTTATCATCCCTCGCATAAAAGTAAGTGTTTTTCTTTTTTATTTTTTATAAAAATGACCATTTCCCTTACAAGTTTAAAATATATTTCAGCAATTATTAATTTGTATCTTATCGACGTCGTATCCGGTAATATTATTTATTCATGTTCTCATCGAAAAGCAAGAGAACCAATTCACGTGGTACATTCTGAAAATTGGGTTGTTTATTCTTTTGTTAACGAAAAATACAGAAGAACTGAATTAGGTGCTTTAGAAATGTACGAAGGTAAAACTCAAAGTAATTCAACAGTTTTCTCATCGATGGATTCGGCAATTCTTTTACCCATCGTCGAAAAGCAGGCTTACATATTACCAGCCAACGTTTTAGGTCTTAAAGAAACAATTACAGAAAAAGGAATAACCAGTAAACACATTTTAGGTGAGTTTGTTTAAAACTTGTATAAAAAGTATGTTTTTTTTTTTTTTTTTTTAAAAAAAAAATTTAATTTTAGTTGCTTTGTCAACTGGAGGAATATTAGAATTACCATGGGCTTATGCTGACCCGAGGAGACCCATGACTGTGACTCCAGAAATGAGAGAAGAAGGAGTGATACCATACATGCCGGAACTTCCCATTCCTTTGGAAGCTATTATTAATCATAATCAATCTGTTTACAATGTACGAGGAATGCATACATCATCCAGCGGATTAGAATCAACATGTTTAGTATTCGTTTACGGTTTAGGTAATTCATAAATATATAACATTTCCTTGTGATGAAATTATATATTCGAAATAATAATAATAAATTTATTTACAGATATTTTTTATACAAGGGTAGCCCCATCAAAAACATTCGATTTATTAAAAGATGATTTCGATTATTATCTCATAACATTGGTTTTGGTTGCCTTGACAATCGTTTCGTATGTCAGTAAAAAATTAGCTTCTCGAAAAGCATTAAGACAGGCTTGGAAATAGTTTTCTTTTTTTATTTTTTAAATTGAAAAAGGAAAGGGGATCAAATAAAAGTATTTAATGAGTAATTTATATATATATGTATATGTAGGAAATGATTTTAATGGATGAGGTAATTATGTTGTATCAATGAAATAAATCAATAAAATAAAAAATAAATATTTATTCAAATTTTTTTTTTCTAATTATTATTGCACTAGTAATTTTAATTTTTTAAAATTAATATTATATTTATTGTATTATTAAATCGTCAAGGGAGATGATGTAGGGGAAAAATTATTTTTTTTTTGGGGGGGGAGAAAGGTAAAATATAAAAAAATAAAATGATAAAATTTATTATAATTTAATTTATATTTTCATTGATTTTTTCTAATATAATATTAACATTTTTAGAAAATTCTTCATTTTTAATTAAATGATTGAGTTTAAACCAAATTAAATAAGGATCATAATAAATTAAATTTAAAAATGATTTTTTGCATTTTTCCTGGAAGAAAAAAACAATAAGTTAAAAAAATTATATAAATACGAATAAATAACGATAAATATAGGATAAAAAAAATTACTTGAAGTTCTTTAGGCTGGCATGAACTTAAATATGGAATAATTCCATCAATTATGACGTGACATTGTTTTTCAAATAATTCAAAATTAATTATTAATTCTCCTAAATTATCTAAAAGTTCTCCTTGAAGTTTATAATTTTGTGTAAAAAAATATTCTTTATGAAAATCTTTTGTTTTGCTTTTCGCAGCTTCCGTTAATAAAAATTTTTTCAAAAATGGTAAAACGTTTCTGAAATTAATTTTAAATAAAACTTTTAATATTGATTATGGTTCGATCAGGGTAAAAATATTTTTTTACTTACTTAAGTGCTCTAGATCTAAGAAAATATTTTGAAACTCGAGCTAAATTACATAAAAGACTAAAACTTCTTCTTATTAAAATAATTTCTGTTAATTTATCAAATTTAGTTACTAACGGAGACCATATTTTATGAATCAATGGTAATAATTCATTTTCTATTTCTGATAATATACAAATACTTTCGTTTAATATTTCTAAAACTAATAATTTAATATTTATATCTTTTGAACTGAGAAAATTAAGACAATGATTTGAAATGGCGACTGTGATGCGAATGTGTTTGGGTAATTCGACTTTATCATTTTTTTCAGGTAATTCATCATTTATTTCTTCATCTTCCACTGATTCATTATTATTATCATATTCCATTTCATCACTAATGTCTTCTTCTTTTTTTTCAAGATTTATAATAAAATCAACAAGTTCTTTTGTGAGATTTTCTTTCGATTTATATTCTTGTTTTGTATAATTAACATTGAGCCAATTTCTCAAGCAGTGAACAAAAGTGTGAAATACTCGTAAGTAAGAAACGGTTAATGGCGAATTATAATTTACACAACTAATTTTGAGAACCTTAAACAAAAAAAAAAAAAAAAAATTTAAAAATATAAAATCTTAAATGATTTTTTTTTTTTTTAAATCAAATAAATACGTACTTTATTAACAATATCTTCTAAATTAGACATTGTATCTAATCCGCTATTTTTAATTAAAACCGTTAATACGTCAAGAACACCGACAGCATTCGTTTTCATTTTCGTTATGGAATGATACGTTAAATAATCAATATTATTTTTTATTAAAAATTCTACGCTCCCTTTCATACCGCAGACTTGTGATATAGCAGTACCTGTTTTAGTCGCTATAAAATTAAAAACGTCAATGTTACACTATTTTTAAATTAAAAAAAAAAAAAAAAAAGAAGAAAATTTGAAAACCTTCGAGTTTTATAAGAGCATATTTATTTCCCATTAATTCCACAACGTAATATAAACTTTTAAATAAATATTTATTAAAATTATTATCCAACTTTATTGCCAAATGTCTCAAACCTTCCATTATCAATGCAACCTACAAAAAAAAAAAAAAATAAGAATGAACAATAATTTTTTTTTTTTCAAAAACATGATAAATTTTGATATTGAAAATAATAATAACCTTTATTATATTAGAATGTAAATCTTTTACATTAAAACAAGATTCATTATCAACAGTTAACACCAAATGTAATTTTTCAGGATCAATGTAAAATTCAAACAACTCGTTCATAACGTGAGGTTTAATTTCTTTTAAACCTAATATAACTTGATTTAATATTAATAATATTTCTTTTCTGAATGAGTGTTCTTTAGTAAAAATATCCATTAAAAAATCTACAATGATTTCAATTTCCACATGTTCTCCTAAAAGTTGGCAAATTTTTTCCAATTCGAAAATAATCAAAGAATCAGTAAAGTGATAAAATTTTTTCCACTGTTTTGACCATGTCGTCAAGCTCATGTCATTGTCTAAAATTTAATATTTAATTACTACCAATTTGACTGATAAAAATTTTATGGAAGATTATTATTATTATTTTATACTTACTGTTGATAGAAAAATCTTCAGTTGAAATTTCTGGATATAACATCAATTCAAAAGCTACTTGAATTGGAAATAATACTTTTTTTAATGTCGAAGAAAGATTTAAAAGATTTTTCAGCTTTCCAGATTTTCCTAAAATATTTAAATAACCGGAAAAAGACTTTAAAGAGGACAATAATAATTTTTCATCTCCTGACTTTATTATTCCAGGTAATTTGTTGACTAGTAAATAAAAATTAGTTTCCATGACTGATGAATATTTTATTGATGATTTATCCATATGTTTCATTTCAAATTTTTTTAATGCTTCATAAGCAATGTTTTGTATTTCTTCATTTTTATCACTTAGTGATCCGACTAACACATCTATAATGACATTTATAGATGATTCTAAATTAACTGGACAATTTTCAAGAAATCCAACTAAAACTTTTAATAATTCTATTCTGCATTTATCATTAGAATGTTTCCTTACTTCTGTCACTTTTGAAATTAGAGGCTTCACTGTAATTGCTACAGCTGCCAACCAACTACTAGTCCTTTTTTTCTCTAATAAACATTTTTTAACATCAATAATTTCTGTTTCTTTTAATTTTTTGTCGCAGGTACTCATCCACATTTGAATTTGTTCATTTTCATTTAAGTCTTCATTACTCGGCAGATCACAAAGAACCAAGGAAAGTATGTGTCCCCAACATTTTAAAGCTGTCTGTTAATTTTAAATGTTATTATAATAGAGTATTACTTTGCAATTGAAATATGCATTTAAAACTTACAATAGTTATTAAATGATGTTGAGTTTCATCTCTCATGATAATTTCTTGAAGAGGAGATATAATACCAGGAAGATACAACATAAATAAATCAGCTACAGAAGAATAAATACCCTGATTGTAAACAACATTTTCTTTAAACTGACTGGCTGTTAATAAGAAATTTAGAGCCTCTAACCTATGAAATATTTAAATTTAAATAGACAACTTTAAAACTTTTTCCTTCAATCAAATATTTAAAGAAACCACCTGCATGTAAAAAAAATAATTAATTAAGGGATTTACCTCAATTTAATACTTCTTTCATTTCTTGCAATTTTAACAGATACAAATATTCCAATACTGAATTTTTCACCTGAGTCTTGTTTAAAAAGTTTATCTAAAACGCTTATGTCCAAATTTTCAATTAACCGACTACTTGCGTGAAGTGTATTTAACTTTAATTCTTCTGAAATTACACTACTCGATTTTTCCCCTTCGAATATTTGAGAAAATAACAAAAGGTATATATTAAAAAATACATTAATGTCTTTTATTGGAGTTATATTTAAAATATTAATCAAACACTCAAGTAACAAGCATTTATCATCAGATTTTATTGATGTGTCTAACTGAAGTAAAATCGGTTCTAAAAGTTTTAATTGTATCTTATTCAAAATAACTGTGTTTTCATTTGTACAATTTTTCAAAACCTTATTAAATTCTAAAATTTTATTTGTATAATGTTCAATAAAACATGATCTGAAAGGTTGTTTCACCAACATAACGCTTAAAGCAAACAATTCGTTATAAATCTCGTCAAAACGTTCCATTGTAAATAATTTAGATTACGGTATTAATTTGAAATTAATAATTGGCACCCCTGCATTAAATTAAACATAGAGTTTATTGTTTTAGTTTTTAAATTAACCGTTACCAGAGTTACCTGATACTAAGTCAAAAATAATATTCATTGAAATTTAATTTAAAAATGAATAGAAAATATTTACGTTATTAAAAAGTTATTTTAAATGTTTTATTGATACTGCTGTGAAATGTATGAAAATAAATATTAGGGTCCGGTAATAAATCAAAATAAAGCACAAGTAGTTACTTAAAAGCACATAAATAAGAATCATCCATATATATATTTTATACTTGAAATAACTTTTTTATTATACTTATTATATTTATTCGATAAGCCTTATTTTTTTTTTTTCTAAATTAAAAACAATACGATTTTGTAGATTTTACAAGACAAAGAAATAGTCTGAGTTCCATTACAGGAACTTTTTGTATTTGTAGGTTTAGGTGAAATTTATTTAAAATAAATACAGGTACAGGTAGTTGAAAAAATGTTTATACATAAAATTTGTGTTTAAAATCATGGGAACGAATACCTCAAATTAACACAAACCCCTTTAAATTTATTTTGTTCATTTTATGGTACTAGGCACTGTGCTTCCCACAAATCTGAACATTTTTTTTTTTTTTTTTTTCAGTAAAAAAAAATTTCTATACAAAATGATTTGCATCATTGCATGATAGTAATGTCTACATAATGATAATATTTGTATGTAAAAAAATGTATTGATTTGTTGCTTGATAATTTTTACTTTTTTTTTTTTATATGTTAATAAAAAAATATGTCTTTTTTTATGTTCTTTTAATTTTTTTTTAGGTAATTACAGGGCGTTAATAAATAAATTTTTATATTAATTAAGAGTATGAATAGGTTTTAAAATTATTCAGGAGGTAAAAATTTCCTCATGTAAAAGTTTCATTTTTTTTTTTTTTTTTTTTAACTTTAGGCCGTTGATAAGAGTTTCAACAAAAAAAAAAAAAAAAATTATATATATATCACAACCGAGACCTTTAACTTCATTTTTAAACTTGGCGTTTAATTTTATTATCAAACATAAATTATTTCAAATTTTTTTATTATTATTTAGTGTGTAATACAATTTGAGTGCAATGGTGGTTACATCTGCCTTAAAAATAAAAAATTATTATTACTTGAAAACAGTTGAAATAGTTTTTTATTTTTTAAAAATATTAATGGATTCGATTTTAAATAATTTTATTAAATTAAAAATATTTTTATTAAAATTTATTAATCACAATTTGAATTACATACATGTTGTTTTGTATTCGACGTTAAGAAATCAATTGAAATTTGTTTTGAATTTTTTTCTAATTTTTACACAATGGATTTGTTGTAAATGTTTTTTAATACCAGTTAAAATAATAAAAAATATATTTAATTGTCTTATGAAAAAAAAAGGAACAAGAACAGTTTTAATTAGCGGTGGAAGTACAGTACAAACATTACATTTGGCAAGAAATTTTTATTGTTCAGGTACGAGAGTTATTATATGCGAAATAGAAGGACATTTTCAATTGGCTAATTTTTCTTTTGCCGTTGATAAATTTTACACTCTACCAAAACCAAAGGATGATACATGTTATTTTAAATATTTAAATGCATTAAAAAATATTATTGAAGAAGAAAAAGTATCTTATTATATTCCAGTGAATGCAACAAACGAAGCTTTTTACGACGCATTAGCTAAAACACAATTAAAATTAAATAATAATTGTTTTGTTTTTGTACCAACGGTAAAAGAAGTTTTACTACTGGATGATTTTTACCAAGTTTTAAAAACTTGTAGAAATATCGGTTTAAATACTCCATCTTATCATTACATAACTTCCTTTCATGATATTAAAAAATTATACGATTCTGGAATATTCGAAACCGGTTATTATTTCATGATAAACGTCGGTCGTTCCGGTATAGGTCAAAGAATAGAAATTGAAATACCAAAATATTTAAAAGATTTTAATTTTTCACATGAAATAAGTACCAGGATGCCATGGATGATAGTTCAAAATATTAAGGGAGATCGTTACATTACATGTACAACAATTAAAAATGCTGTAGTCGAAGGTAATGTTATATGTCGAGAAGGAAAAAATGATGATGATTTAATACCGATCGATAATAAAGAAATAAATGATTGGATTCAAACATTTTTTAATAAAATTGAATTTCGAACAATATGCGGACATTTTACTTTTCGTTTTGTCATACCACATTCAACAAATTCAGTTATACCATTAGATTGCAGAGTCGGAGTTTCATTGCCTTATATTTGTTTTACAAGCGTACATTCTAGAATCCTATGGAAACCTTGTAAACATTTTTCAAAGAAAAATTCAAGTCGGCTATTAGTGGAAAAACCACGTTATTGGATATCCGATGCAATATTATCAATATTAAATCGTTTATCAATGGAAACTTTGATGAAATTTTTCAAAACAATTTTAAATAAGCAGGAAGCTGTTTTTGTTTATTGGGATCCTATACCTTGTTGCGCTTATAATTTTCTACAAAAACCATTTAAAAAAATTTTTGATTTTATTGAGGTTTTGGGAAATATTAACTAAATCTATGGAAATTTTTTAACTGTATGAACTTATTATATTTGTTTGCGTGATGAAAAAATTATTTTTTTTTTTAACTGATAGATATATATAAAATGATATGAAGCATCCATCATGCATGATATACATGTATATAGAAATTCTTTAATTACACTTTTTAAAGTTTAAATAAATAAGAAATTTTTTTTTTTTTTTTTTACTTGTATATCGTTTTGTTAAATTGTAAAGACGAAGGAGGGGTTAGGGGGTAGGGGAGGGAGAATTCAAAGATCACGAATATCAGGATAATTATTATCTTTAAGAAATATAATTATAAAGAGATGATTACGATAAGGCAAGAGGATGGATGGATGATGCTTATGAATCGTCGGGTTTTGTTCCCGAAAAAAAAACGTTATTATAAGGAAGAGGGGGAGGGAAAGGGTGTGGGGGGAAATTTAAATATGAAACAGATATTCAATATAAAATAAAAAAAATTTCGTGTCGAAACAGAGTAAAAAGTTTTTTTTTTTTTTTAAATTGTTGTTAAAGAGTGACAAACACGAATATTTTTACTTTTTTGTCTTATTAACTTGATTTATTTATATTATTATTATTATTATTATTATTATTATTATTATTTTTTGTTAATTATTAATAAGTTTTTTAATGTCTCATTTTATTTTTAATGATGTAAAATTACAAGTTATTATCATTATTATTATTAATAATTTATTAAATAGTTTAAATTTTATTTTATTTTTTTTAATTGATCTCTCTTATATATATTTATATTTATATAAATATATTTTAATATTTAAATCCGGTTACGAACAATAATAATAATAATAATAGGAAATTATATCTATAAAATATTTTATAATAAAAAAAAAAAAAAAGGGAAAAAAAATTTAATGGAAGGGCAATAAGGAAAAAACATTCAGCACGTGTTTCATCGTGGAAATCCCCGAATGGCACCATATTATTATTATTATTATTATTATTATTATTATTATTATTCCTTTCAATATTTTTTTTTTAAAAACTTTATACGTATTGCGTCCTATTTTTTTTTTTTTTTTAAATTAAAATTTTAAAAAATTTTTATGTAAAAAAAAAAAAAAAAGAAAATTTTTATTATTTTCCTCATCCCCCTCCCTCCTCCCTCCGAAAAAAAACAAACGTGGGGTAAAAATAAACGTACGTATGACTGTTGTTTAAATAATAATAATAATAATAATAATGATAATAAGTAAAATTTTGTTCATATTAATAATTTTTTAATTGATTTAATTAATTTAAAAGAAAAAAAAAATGGTGGTCTAAAGTATGGCTCCGAGTGGTTGGTGATAAATGATTTTTTTTGTTGATTTCCGGTTTTCAATTTATTAATTAAAAATTTTTTTTTAAATGGTAAATAATTCATGTTAAGCTTAAAGTACAACAGGAAACAAAAAAGAAAATTTTTTTTTTTTTTTACGAGGGTAAAAAACGTAAAAAGGGAAGAAAAATCTTTAAGGTTGAAAACAAAAAAAACCATCACGCGACCTGTAAAATCTTCTTCAGGGTTCTTTCCCCCCCATTTTATAAAATTTTCCGAGTAAAACTTTTTTCCTTTATAATAATAATAACTACATAGGTGGCGGTACGTTTTGTTTTTTTATATTTTTTTATCACATTTTATTTATTCGCGGAAAATATTATTATTATTAGTAGGAAAATTCAAAAAAAAAAAAAATTTTCTTTACCGTTTAGAATTTTAACTGACATTGAATAAATAAAATAATTTTTTTTTTATTTAAAATATTTATTTTATTATAAAAAAATGAGAGATTGATTGACACGAGAAAATTATTATTTAGAATTTTCCTGAGGGAAAGATTTGTCTTTAGGCACTGTGCAATAGTTTTTCCATCTGTGAGTCGAAAGCGAACCTTTTTTCCTGTCTCTTTTCGGTTTTTGATATTCTCTTATGTGTCTAATTATATGATCGACGGTTTCTTCTGCTGTCGCTTGTCCTCCTATATCTGGCGTACGGATTTTATCATAGACTAATGTGGCATATACAGAATTGTGAATCATTTCTGCTGTTTTGTTGTATCCGAGATGATGCAAAAGATTTATCTGAATTAATTAAGAAAAGGGATTAATGAAGTATAATAATATTATGTGTATGGATAAAATGTAGTTAAGACACTCACTCCGGACATAATCATTGCTATAGGATTGGCTCTGTTAAGTCCGACTATGCTCGAACCTTTGTTTCTTGCACCAGGTTCGAAAACGGCAATTCCGTCAGCGCTGAAATTAATACCTGATGTCAAACCTGGTCCACCTAACATACCATTTAAATAATTTGAAATCATGCTTCCGTTTAAATTAGTTGCTAATATAACATCGAATATCCGAGGATTTGATGCTATTTTAAATATGGCGACGTTAACGTCTAATACATTCATTTTAATCATCGGATAACTTTTTGATATCTTATTGGCAGCGTTGAGAAAGAGACCCTCGGTGAGTTTTTGTATGTTGGCATTATGGACGACAGTTATTAGTTTTCTGTCGTTTGTGAGAGCATAATCAAAAGCAAATTCAATCAAACGTTCTAAATTGAATCTCGTTAATACTTTAAGACTTTCAACACTTCCGGTTCTCGGTTCGTGTTCCAACATTAAATATTCTCCTTCTGTATTTTGCCTTATTACGGTTATATCGATTTCTCCAAATTTATTTGACAAACCGGGAAATGTTTTACAAAATAATATGTATACGAATAAATCTAAAGTTTTTCTAAATATAATGTTTCTTGATTTTATATGTGGATTTTTACTTTGAAGTTCTATGTTTCCCTGATTAAAAGAAATAAATTAATGCAATTGATGGGGGGCATGGGGGGGGGTAGGGAAAGGAAAAAAATAAAATACTTTTAATGCGACTCTGTTTCTTCTTATCGAAGTTAAAGCTTCGTCAAAATCATTATTTTTTGAACCATCTTTTGAAGAAAGTGCAAAAATTTCATATGATAATGGTGCACCGGCAGCTTTTAATACTCTCAAAGTGTGATCCATAATTTCAGGTCCGATACCTGAACCCGTTAATATCGTTACATTTGTTTTTCCACCATATTTACTTGGAAATGGATTTATGCTTTTCACATATTTGCAGGGTCTTGACAATAATAAAAAAAAAAAAATCAAACGGTTATCATCATTATTTATATTAATAAATGAAATTAATTGAAAATGAAAAAAAGTTTTTCTTGTTGTTGTTTGTTACTGTTTGTCGAGAGAAAGAAGAAAAAAATTTAACGATAATTAATCGAGAAAATATTGCATGTTAATCATATTTTAAACTATTCATTATTCAAGTTTTGTAATTTATTTTAAAAAAAAGTTTAAAACGTTAAATAATAATAATAATAATTAAATATATATATTTATATAAACTTTATTTTGTACTTTCAAAAAAAAATTCTTAAATTTAACAATAATCGTCGGACGATTAATTTAAATTTTTTTTTTATGTTTCTCATCAATTAATAATGATAATGAAATAATATAATTAATTTTAATATTAAAAAAATATATAATTACAGTACCTGTTATTACAATTGTGTAAACTTATAATAACAAAAATTTTTTTATTATTGTAACTAGTTTTTTCAAAAATTTTAAAAAAACTAAATATTTTCACGGACATATTTTTTTTTTTGAAAATTATGTTTTTAATTTTAAATAAAAATGTCGAATTTTTTTTTCTCCGTTCGCATAGTAGTTTTAATAATTTTTTTTTTTTTTTAAGTACGAAGAGAAAGAGGATTAAATGGATTTGTTAAATTTTTAAAATGGCGGAAAGAAAAAAATCACAATTTTCACATTTGGGAAGACCGGGAGGTTACAGGAGCCGAGAGGTTTTAAATTATTTTAATTAATTAATTATTATTATTATTTTATAGTTTTTGTCATAATTTACGAATTTAAAAAAAAAAAAATTATTATCAGGCAAGCGGAAATGGATCGTTTAGAGAAAAAGAAAATTATTCTCGTGCTTTATTACCGATCGGGATCGGTGGAGGGGTTCCGGAAGAACCTGAATATTTGATGCGACAAAACCAAGATTTGAAAAGAAGACTCGAAGTAGAATCAATTAATTATAAAAAACGTTTGGAATCATACAAACAAGCACAACAACATCAGGCGGCTTTGGTGAGTCGTCTTCAAGCCAAAATATTACAGTACAAACAAAGATGCGCAGGTAAGTACATTTTCCAATTTTTGAAAAAAGTCAAGCCAAATTTATTATAAAAACACTCGATATAATCCACCATTTTTTTTTTTCTTATAATAGATTTAGAAGATCAAGTCGATGCAAAAGGTGTGGTCAAGGATTCATCAAATCATTTAGTATCATCAATACATTCCTTACCACCTCCTGCTCCGGAATTAAATGATTCTAATTTAGATCTCAACACTGCCATACGATATCTAGAAGAAGAGAGAAGGAAAAACGAAAAATTACGACAAATGTACATAAATGCGAAAGAACAATTAGAGGAAGCACAACAGAATAACGAAAGCCTAACAAACGATTTACAAAAAATAACAAACGAATGGGAATCACTAAGAGAAGAATTGCTACTCAAAGAAGATGAATGGAGAGACGAAGAACATGCATTTAACGAATATTATACTGCTGAACACAGTAGAATGCTCATGTTGTGGAGAAATGTTGTTTGCGTTAAAAGAACATTTGCAGAAGTTCAAATGAACACAGAACGAGATTTAAATAAACTTAAACAAGAATATGCAAACATGTTAAGAGATTTTTCTAGAACTTGTCAGGATTTGAAAACCATGGAAGCACAATCAGCTCTCAGCGAGGTATCCCACTTTTTAAAATGAAATTTTTCTTTTTTCCCCCATAAAATAATTTTTTCTTTTTTTATATTTAAGGAACAATTTATTTTCAAAAAAGAACAAGAAATAAAAGATTTAAAAAAAGAAATTGACATGCTCAAAAATAATATTGATGGTATTGAGGTAGCATCACGAGAGAAAGACGAACGGATACAAAATTTACTTCGGGAAATTCACAATTTGGAAAATAAATGCGCCGAAGCGAATCAAAGTAAAAAAAAAAAAAAAAAAAAGAAAAATGTCTACGGATTTTTTTTTTAAATGTCGTTGAAGTAAAATGTTTGTTTTTATTTTCAAAAAGATGAAGCTCAAATGTTACGAATGGAAGAAGAAATAGAACATTTACAAAATGCACTTCGAGATATCGCTCATGCCGTAATACAAGATGCCGAATCGAAAACTTCCGAATCTATTCAACCGGCTCCACATTTACATTTGACTCCTCCAACAACTGTTCCTCCCAGATCACCAAAAAGGGGAATTCCCAGGACTTCATCTTCTCCTGCATTTGCCGAGAGCACAATATCAGCCGTACAAGCAGCTTTACATAAATACCAACTTCAAATTCACGAATGTCAGGTATAACGATAAGAAATTCTTTTCCGTCACCTCACCGTCATCACCATCATCATCATCATCATTATTATTATCATTTAAAGGTGAAACTCGCAACGAATCAAGAATTACATTCAAATTTAAAAAAACAATTTGATGTGATCAGCGAAGCGCAACAGAGTCTGACTTCTCAGGTATTATCATTAACATCTCAATTGGATGCTGCAAAAGCGGAAATTAATCAACTTTCACAAGAAAAAGATTTCCTCTCTAAATCATTAGAGAGCATGAGAGTTGAAAAAAATCAATTGGAAAAAAATAGAACCGAACTGTCTTCCATGTTCGATGCTCTTAATAACGATTTTGAAAAATTACAAAAATCTCATACAAAACTTCAAAAAATCCACGATTGTCTTGAAGAAGAAAAATTATTTTTACAAGTCGAAGTAGATAGACTAATGAAAGATAGAGAAATTCGAGAATCTCATTTAAGAGCAGAAGAAGATCGTTTAAGTAGAATGAAAGAAGAATTGTTAAGCGTTAAAGAAGAAATGAATAAAATATGTTTGGAAAAAGAAATGTTATTGAGTCAAAAGATGGAATCTCAATCATTATTGGCTCAATTGGAAAAAGAAAAAAATAATATTGAACAAGAATTGGAAAAAACTTTGTTGGAAAAATCCGACATACAAGAATCCCTGGATAAATATGAAAATTTAGGATGTAATTTAGAACAGGAAAAAAATAGATTACAAGATCAAATAAGAAAGGTGTGGAAATGAGTCTTACTTTTTTGTTTCAATGATGACGTAATCAAAATAAACCTTTTTTTTTATTATAGCTCGAAGAAGAAAAGAGAAATTTAAAAAGTCAAATGGCGGATCAACAAAGTGACATAATGTCATTGAGAAAAGAATTATTACAAGCTGAACAAATCAGATTAGAATTAGAATCTGATAGAGTTTCTCAAAAGGAAAAAATTAAATATTTAGAAATAGAAAAAGAAAAGGTGAGAGATGATTCAATAAGACGACTCATTCAACAAATGAATGAATGAATGAATGAATGTTTTATATTTTTTTTTTTAGATAGAAATACAATTAGAAAGTATAACGAGAGAAAATGCGGAAATTAAAAATGATTTATCATCATTATCAAGAAAGAGAGAATTGTTAAATGAAGAAACTATGAGACTAAGACAAAGGTTAGAACAAGTAACGGAAACAAATTCTAGAATAAATAGAAATTTAGAAGAACTCATGAAGGAAAATGAAGAAAAACAGGTTTTCCTTTTATATCGTTGACCTTTTTGTTTTTTTTTTGTCATTCAAAATTGAAATTATTTTGTATTGTTAATAAATTAGATTTTATTGGAATCAAACGAAAAAGAAATTCAAAGAATTCAAGAACAAATAGCATCCATAAGAAGCGAAAAAGAAGCTTTGGAAGCTGTTCTTTTTGACACTCAAACAAATCTCGAAGCATCGGAAATAAAAAAATTACAATTGGAAAAAGATAATCAAGAACTCCTTGTCAAACAAGAAGTTTTAAAAGGACAATTGGCAAGAGTTGCTAAAGATATTGAAGCGTTGGAAGAAAGAGCTGGAGAAACAAAAGCATCCCTAATGCAACAAATGTCCGTACAAGAAGCCGATTACAAACAAATAATATCAAATTTGAAAAAACACATGGACGAAACCATCAGGAAACTAACCGAAGAAAAAGTAATGCAATTGGTGATGGGGGAGGGAAAGGGGAAAGGGAAAAGAATTGAAAAAAAAAAAATGACTTTTTTTTCCAGGAACAAATGAAAATGATGTTGGAAAAAAAAATGACGTCAGCAATTCAACAATTAACTGGAGAAAAAAATAATGAAATTCAACAACTTCAAGATAAGCTAAACACTTTACAGCATCACATAGACAATTTATGTCAGCAACACGAAGAAATTCTTTTGAGAGCGGAAAATGAAAAACAACAAGCGCTCATGCTAGGTTTTCCATTTTCTTCTTCTTCTTCTTCTTGTTTCGTCGTCCTAAATTCATTTAACGAAAAAAAAATTTTTTTTTAGCACATCAAGATCAACAAGCATTAACGGATAAATTAGATAGTTGTCAAAAAAAATTAGACGAAGAAAGAATTATTTTGGAAAAGATAAAAAGAGATTCGGATGTAAAAACAGAACAAGATAGATCAGCGATTAATAATTTAAGAGAAGAATTGGGAAAATTTAAAACGAAATTGGAAGAAACAAAGTAAACATTTTATTCGTTCATTCATGACATTTTGTTAATTATTATTATTATTATGAACTGAAAATGTTTTTTAGGCTAAATGCAACGGAAGAAAAACAAAGACTGGAAAAAAAAATTGAAGAAACAAAAGCGGAAAGAGATGCTTGTAATGGAGAAATCGAAGAGTTAAGAATGCAAATTCATATATTAGAAGATAAAAATGATTTTTTACAAAATCAACTTTTGGAAACTCAAAGAAAATTAAAAGAAAGTAATTATCATCATTATTATTGCTATTTCATATAATTAAAAGGGGGAAAAAATGATTGTTAATTATATATTTTAATTTTAAGATGAAAATAATTTGGAAAATGCTAAAAAAGAATTAACGGATGTTCGTCGTCAATTGGCCGACTGTAACATTGAAAAAGAAAAATACCAATCATCGAATCGTGATCTTCGAGAACATGTTAAAAGAACCGAAGGAGAAAAAAGAGAAATGGCGAGATCGATCGATGAAGCCATACAAAGAATTTCATGTCATTATTTTATTTTATATTTTATATTATTAAAAAACAATAATTCTTTGTGTTGACTGATTATTATTATTATTATTTTAGTTTTGGAAGAAGCGAAATCTGGTTTGGAAGCAGAAAAACTTCGTTTGCAAACATTGATAAGAGATCAAGAGAAAAATCTTCTTCAAACCTCACAACGTCTCAACAGAGTACAAGAAGATCTTGAAAGACTTCAAAATGCTTCGTCTACTCTTAAAAGCGAAGATAAAGAAAGACAAGCCCGATTGACGAATGAAATTGAAGAAAGAGAAAAAGCACAACAGGAATTACATCACCTTAAAAAACAGGTACGAACAAAGAAAGAAAACAAAAATTGTGTTTGAGACTCACTTGCTCGATTTTTTTTTTTTTTTAGATAGCGGAATTGGATTCGAGCCTGGAAATAGCACGACAGGAAATGTTGAGATTACGTTCTCGTTCTGATGAAGAGGAAAATAGATGGAGACACAGAGAACAAGAACTTATTGCTAGATTGGAAGATACAAGAGGAAAAGAGCGGAAATTGGAAGATCAAAAACATAATTTGGAAGTTTGTTTGGCGGATGCAACTCAACAGATTCAAGAACTTAAGGTTGTTGAAAGAATTTGTGGTAATTTTTTTAAATTTAAATTATTTATTATTATTATTCTTATTTTGGTACAGGCACGATTAGGAGGAACGGAGGGAAGAGTCAAAGCACTCGAACAACAATTACAACAATTGGAAATAGCTAAAAAAGAAGCAGATCAAAAATTAAGTTCCGTTGGTGCAACTTTAAGAAGAATCGCTGGAATACAATTTGATGGTTCGATAAGCGTACCATTTAAAATTTTAAGTCCTTCTCGTCGATGGAGTCCAGCAAGGTTAATTCTATATTAAATTTCTTTACCTTTTTCTTTTTCGAAAGATTAATAATAATAATAATAATAATAATTTATAAATATATATATTGTTTTTTTTTTTTTTTTTAAAGTCGCGATACCGAAAAATCAACGTCAGAGTAAGTCAAAAAAAAAAAAAAAAAAACTCAATGGCGTTTTACATTCCATAACATAACATAGGGCAAAACCGAAATTATCATTATCATTTATTAATTTATTATTATTATCATCACGATCATCGTCATCATACTGAGCACCGCAGCTTGAATCAAAATTATTAACCAATTATTAAAAAAAGAAAAATGATAAAAAGGTTTTTTTTTGTTTTTCCTGTAGATCTTACGAACATTTACATCACGGTCACGGTCACGGTCACTGTCACGGTGATGGAAGAGATGTTGCACTTGATGTTGATCCAGAAATGATAAGAAAAGGTGTGAGAGCATTAATGCAACAAGTTGCACAAATAGAAAGAGAAAGAGTGAGTCAGATTTTATCCAGCATCTATTCATTTTTGTCTTTCTTAATTGATCTTAATGTCGGTTTCCTTGTGTGTGTCCAGGACGATTTAAAAGCTTCATTGGGACAAATGAAAAAACAATTAAACGAAGCATCAGATTTACAAGCGAAAAGTGATGAAAAATTAAGTCACGCCCTACAAAATCTGAGAGCTCTCCAGGATGAAAAAAATAATCTCGAAACAAAACTCGGACAAAAACAAGCAGCTTTACAAGCCGAGGTAAAAATGGATGAAAAAAAAACTTTTAAAAAAATTGAGTATAAATTAAACGTTATAAAATTTCCAGACTGAAGCTTTACATCAAAAAACTCACGAATTACAAGAAATGAGAGAAAAAATGGTTGCCATGGAATTGGCAATGCAAAATTGTACGGAAGAAAAATTACAATACGAAGAAAAAATAGAAAAATTAAAATCTTGCATTTCTCGACTGGAAGGAGAAAAAAGAAGTTTGCAAGAAGAACTCAGTCGTACTGAATCCAGAGCAACTAAACTGGAATTACATCGTATGTCACTGGAAGGAGATTTGCAAAGAGTTCAACTCATGTTACAGGTTTATTTATTTATTTATGATGAAAAAGAAAAGAAAAATTTACAAAGGATTTTTTTTTGTTAAATTCAATGAAATTTTTACAGGACAAAGAAGCTCAAGTTCAAAAATTACAAGAAAAATGTGAAAAACAAAGTAGAAATTTAACAAGTCTAGAATCTCGATGTGCCTCACTTAAAACGACCATGGATAATTTAAATTCGGCATTGGAAAAAGCATCGGAAAATGAATTAGAATTACAAAAGGAAATAAGTGCTTTGCAAAAATCACTCGCCGAAGCAAACGCAAACACAAATTCGGCAAATGAAAAATTAAAATATTTACAAAAAACCCAAACAAACATTGAAAACGAAAGAAGGTTGCTGGCAGAAAGACTCGAAGGAAATCAACAAGCTTTAATGGAACTTCGTAGAAATCATCAAGCACTCCAGGATCAAATGCAAAGACTCCAAACGGATTTAGCAAACAGCGAAGTATGAATAATAATAATAATAATCTATTATAAATAAAGGATAAATTTAATTTTTAATTTTTTGTCAAAAGGTTCAAAAATCCGGTTTGGAAGCACAATTACGTCACGCAACATCATCTTGGGAAAATAAATTCCCGTTGGAAAATGAAGAAAATGAATTATTAAGACAGCTGGAATTATCACAAAAAGAAAAAATTGAATTAAGAGGAAAAATCGAAACGCTCAACGATAAAGTTACTATCACATAATCCTGATTATAATTTTTTTTAAATGAATTAATAATAATAATAAAATTTATTCATCCTCCTTTTAAGGTTCGACAATTGGAACAGGAAAAAAGAAGTTTAGAAAGGCAAATTTCTTCTAAATCTGGATTTTATAGAAATAAAAGTACCGAAAGACAAGAAAAACAAAGAGATTTTCCATCTGATTCTGGAATTATTTATCAACTGGAACAAGAAAATCGAGAATTGCGTTTGAAAGTTCGTCAATTGGAAACCGAGGTAATATAATCTATTATTATTATTATTATTATTATTATTAAAAAGTTTTTCTTTTTGTATGTTAAAATTTTATTATTTTTAAAAAAGCTGGCAGAAAAACAAGCGGAATTAAATAAATTGAAAATGAATGTTGGAAATAATGATAACGTTATCGATAGAAGTGGAACCATTGAAAGAATCAGGGCGGCTCAATTACAAGCAGAACGTCTTCTAGAAGCTAAAGAACTTTCACATCGTCAACAGGTTTCACGTTTGGAAAATCAGGTACGGTTTTTCATTAATTTATTTTTAAGGTAATATAATTTATATATATTTCGTATTTTATTGTATTACACAACGTATATAGATTCAATCCCTTCGTGAACAATTAAATCAAGAAGTTAAAAGAAGACAAATGTACGTGTTGAGAAGTTCGAGGGCAGGTCGGGAAATGCAACAATTAAGAGAAGCTTTGGGAGATTCATTGAGGACCGTTTCGCAGGATCCCACATTAGATCCTGATTTACTCGAACAGGAAACTCGAAAATTAGACACGACAATGACGTCATCAACATCTCCAGCGATGGCATTACCACCTCAGACTTATGATTATCTATCATCGCAAGGAAATAAATAAATAAATATATTTAACAGCATCGGAAAAAAGATTGAAGTGGAAGATTGAAATGATGAGAATGGCAAATGATGTCTTCCAGTCATTACAAAAAAAAAATTTTTTTTATATCAATTCATATCCACACAATCGAATTCAAAAAAATTTTTTTTTTTTTACGTAGTCGAATTATATAAAATTAGATGTTCACTCATATCAATTAATAATATATCACCGATATTATTATCATTATTATTATTACATTAATATTGTAGCAATTATATTATTATTATTATTTATATTAAATAAATTTTTTTTATACGTCAATTTTTTTTGTATATCCCAATATTTTACATAAAATAAATAAATTAATAAATGTATACATTAATAAAAATTATTATTAATTTTTCCTTTTATAGAATTCTAATAATTATTGTAATACATAATAATGACGTCAATGAAATAAGGTAACTATTATTATTATTATTATTAATTTTTTAATACACATATATCTGGTTTAAAGATTCATTTTAAATTGAAATAACTATTTAATTAATAATTTATTTATTGTAAAACTTTTCTTATTTTTTGTTTTAATGATTACACCACAACGAATATAAATTGTGCGAAATACAGAATAATAATAATAATAATAAATGAGTGAGTGAAAAACATTAAAAATATTTAAAACAAACAGATTTTCTGAAAATGTATCTCACCTCAAAATTTTATATATATATATTTATGTATAATAAACAATAGATAGACAATTAATAATAATTACACCTAATAACTTATTAAGGCATATTTTTCTCTTATTAAAATTAAATAAATAAAGCAAAAGAAAAATCAATAGAAAATTTTCAAGTCTTTTTTTTTTATATTTTTTAAAAATATTATTCAAAAATAAAAATAAAAATAAAATAAAAAAAAAAAAGAAAGAAAACAAATTTGAATGTTTTTATTTTTTTTTTTTTTTTTTTAGCGGATTAAGAATGTGTGATTTTTTTTTTATAACACAAATAATAATAATTATTATTATTGGGCTTACATATATATATATATTTATTTATCCGTATAATAGGATTTTAAAACTATTAACATATATATAAAATTCTAAAATCAATATTAATATATATATATTTTTTTGTTTGCCCAAATTTTAGTAGTTGAAACAGGAGAGATCCGAATAACATTTTAAGATTTCTCACAATGGAAAGAGGCACACAAACTCCATTAGCAACCACTGTTTACACTCATTTAGTAAATTAGTTTTTTCTCTCTTTCTTTTCTTTCTTTAACAAAAAAATAATTAAAATAAATTTTAATGATTACGCTTCCAAATCATAAACGAAAAGAACTTCCGAATGTAAAATTCCTGCTTCTTCCAATGTTTTGATCGGTTCTCCATTTTGGCTCGTGCACTGCAAGATTCTTTTGGGAAAATTTGTTGTTATATCAAAACTATCCGGAGATGATGGGTGACAAAAAACGTAGTTATACACATCCTGAGGTAAAATAAAATAAACCAGAAAATACTTAGTTCATTAATTAATTTAAATAATACTTTAGTGTAGAAAAAGTGTAAAAAAAAATCTCACCTGTAATGAATGACTTTTTAAAAATCTTCTTTCTAACCTAACTCCGCATGGTAATTTAATGATCAATTGTACTGCATTAGGATCATAAACTGAAGGTTCTCTCGGAATTTTATCTAATCGTTCTATTTTCAATCTCCTGATTTCCTAATTCAAATAAAATAATTTTAATTATTATTTAACAAAAAAAAAAAATTGACAATTCAATCATCTTCTATTTCACACAATTAAAAGTGAAATTTATCTCGTCTTATTGTAAAAAAAAAAAAATTTTTAAATAAGTTGTTTCTTTTTTAAAATAATAATTTAAAATTGAAATTCTTACTTCTTTCCTCTTTATTTCTTCTTCTTCTAACTTTTTCTTCATTTTTTCTAATTCTTCCAACTTTTTCCTTTCTGCCATTCTTTGACGTTCTTTTTCTTGATCTGCTAATAACGATTGCTGATATGCTTCATCTTGTTGTGCTCTGAGAGTTTGATTGAAACTCCGCTCCATTCTAGTAAAGTTATAGTAAAATATTTATTTTTTATCAATTTTATTAATATAAGTCATTATTATTATTATTATTCATGTACCTTTCTGCTCTGGCTGCAGCTAAACATACTTCATTTTCTTTTACAACAGCTCTCAAACGATGTAAGAGTTCTTCTGCATCGACAGCTCCTTCCATTCTGTTGATTAAATAAAATGGTTGATGATGAATTTAATAGAAATGGTTATTATTAAAATAATAAAAAAAAATGAAAAAACAATTGATTTATTACCTTGCAACAACTGTCATTCTACCTTCCCTGAGAGCAATCATAGCCAAAAATGGATGAACATTATCTCTGAGAGCTTGTGACACCCTGTAGCCCTCCCCAGTATTTACATTACAAGCCCAAAATAATAAATTTTGATTAATATAAACCAAAACATTCGAATTAGTTAAAACATCCCTTTAAAAAAAAAAAAAACAATTTTATTCACTTTGAAAAATTCATGTTGTTCATATAATAATATTGATTAAATAACTTGCCTACAAAAATTGATTGAATCCACACTTTTTTCAGAGTGAAGGTATACTAGTAAAAACCTTAATTCTTGTTTGGCATCATTTAAAGCTTGAGCATAAGTGCCTTGGTAAAATACTGGATGAACATTTCCATAATGTTCTTCAAATGAGGTAATAAACGATAAGACATCCCCAAGAGGATCTGTTATTACTAAAATTTAAAATCGATGAGTGAATTTTTTTTTTTTTAAATCGAATGTATTGTGTTAAGTTAATCTCCTTACATCTCCTAGGATCCGGTCTAAATATTCTTAGAGTCAAAGTAAGTGCACTAGCAATGGTATTGTAGCAAAAGTTAAAGACGAGATTGAATATGTAACGAAAAGCCCCAGTGATACCACCACTACTGTAATCATCTCTAGGTCTTGAAAAAAAATACTGTTGCGCTATATGATCATTAACAACCGCTGGGGCTCTCGCGTTAGTAGCAAACATGGACGGCCTTCCCTCTCTAATATTCAACTGATCTTGCACCGCAACCTCTAGATCCCATGAGTGCCTCTGAAGTACATCCCTGCACACCGTGACATCCTCTATCCCCGTCAGATCCTACAATAACAACATTTATAATAAAATTAAAATTTTCTTTAAAAAAAGACGATAGAAAGTGAAAGAGCGAAAGAATTTTTTGTATACTAGGAGGAAAAAAAAAAAAAAAAAAAAAACGAATACTTGCCTGAAATTGCAAAACCTTTTCTGTTTGTTCCGTAGTCATTCCTTCCAGTCCATTCCTTATATCGTTCATTTTGAATTTTACTCCTTTTGTAGCAGCTAAATAGTAACTGTATTACAAGCATTTACCCAAAGGCCGTGAGAAAATATGGATTGAAATTTCTTAACAAACCTGTCATAAAAAGCGATATTCATTAGACAAGAAAAAGAATTAAGTTAAAAAGAATAACAACAAATGACATGTTCCATACAAAATCGCCAACTTTACTATTAAAATAATAAAATTTATTAAACCATAGACGTAAATATAAAAAAAAAAAAAATTGAATATTTCTTTAACGGTTATACTTAGTAACCCCCGAAATAATCAATTTCAATATTTTTTTTTTTTAAGTAAAAAATTAAATTAAATTAAGTCGTCGTCGCGACATATAATTAATTTTTATCATTGTTCATTCAAAAAGTTTCAATTTATTTTAAAATTAATTTTCTTTTTTTTTTTTTTAAAAATATTTCACACATAACAATTCTAGCAGTATGAAAATGTCATATTTTTATTTTTTATTAAACTATTTTTACTTCCTTATAAAATATAGTTACGCTTTTTAAATTCAATGTTTTTACCATACGATTTATATAATCGACATTTTTTTTATATTTTTTTCATTTTAATACGTTAAAATCAAAATACATGCGTAACGTATAGAAAATAAATTTTTACAATTATGGGAGATAAAACTGAATTGAATGAATTCCGGGAAATGCAGATGAAAATCGGTTTCGAAGACGAAAATATTTTATTTGTTGAATCCGATAATGTTTTTACACATAATAACGGTGACGAATATTCTGGACAATTTTCCGCATTTAAAGACAAACAAAGAATTGTAATGGAAGGTTATGGAACGTATAAAACTAATGATAATCAATTATACGAAGGGATTTGGGAAAATGATAATCTTAAAGAAGCAAGAAAAATAATTTTTTCTGATTTATCAGAATTTAGCGGATTTTTAGAAGAAATGATAATTCAAGGTCCAGGACAATATAAATTTGATAATGTGGAAATAAGTGGAAATTTCGTTCACAATAATTTATTGGGAAATATTTTCTTAAAGGATCCAAATAATCACATTTGGTTAGGAAATGTAAAACCTTATGATTTATTTATTTTGTTTAATCCATTACATTCATTTTGGCAATCTGTTTTAAATTTACCACAAAAACAAAGTTTTTATTTTAATCAGGAAGAAGAAGAAGAAGAAGAAGAACAACGAGATGATGATGATGATGATGATTATTAAAATGAAATTTATTTTTTGAATTCAATTAAATTAATTATAATTCAAAACTCATTTTCTTCATTTTAAGTTAAAGCTTTTTTATTCAAAAATTTAGGCACATTTTATTGAAAATTATTTAAACACAAATATCTACCTAATTATTATTACCAAAAAAAAAATGTACATAAACGCGACTGAATAAACCTATATAAAGACTAGAGAATAAAAATTTTAAAATTTAATACGAAATTATATTTTTCTAACTATTTTTCCAATTTTTTTGACAAAACAGTTTAGGAAAGTTCAGAACACGTTAAAAATAAATAACGGAAAAGTTTTGTGTATTGCACAAATGCAGTTTTTTTTCTCAATATTAATGATAATAATAATAATATTGTAAAATAATTTCATTAAACGGATCATTTTACTAATCGAGACTAATATGAATATATATATATATATATATATATATATATATATATATATTTGTCTACATTTTGTTTATGTGAATTAAAATAATGGTCCTCATCAATCACTGACAAATAATAAATGTGGTAACACATTAAAATAATATTGATGAGAAAAATATATCGTCTGATGATGAAGAATAAAAAAATTAAAATTTTCCGAGAAAATTTATCAATAATGACGGCTATCAATTTTTTTTATGGCTTCCTTTCGATTATAGAACTGTCTCTATATTCATGTTCAATATTTTTAGCCGTTTCTAATATGGATGAATTTTTTTCATCGTATCCAGATAATGTTTTCACCAAACCTGTTTTGGGATGATTGAAAAGGTGATCAGGATGTGCATCGTGAACGAGAGTTTTTAATGCCATTGATACAACAACCCACGGTACGATTCTAAAAAAAAACAAAAAAAATGATAATAATAAACCAATAAATATTTTATCAATGTTTCATTGATTACCGAAGAAAAGGAAAAATAAATAAATAAATAAATAAAAGATTGTTAACCTTCAATTGTAAATACTTGCATAAAAAAAAATTAATAAAAGTGCATTGAAAGTTAATTAAAAGTGCATTATTACCCTTTAATGCAAATAAGAAATTTAAAAAACCAAGGTAGAAAAACTTGTTTTTGATTGGTTATTACTGCTTTTACAACTTTTTCAGCAACATACGAAGCATCCAATATTGGAACTAATCTAAAAAAAAAATGTCATTTTGAATAAATTGTAATTTATTTAAAAAAATATTTTTTGTTTAAAAAAAAAAAAAAAATAACCTTGTATCAACGCCATCAAACATTCCGGTACTTTTAATAAAATAAGGACAAACTGCAGTTGTATGAATGTTTAAATGACCATGAGATTCTAATTCGACTCTAAGAGATTCATCAAAACCAACAGCGGCAAATTTTGAAGAACAATAATCTACTAATTTGGTCATACCAACAGTTCCTGCCATGCTAGCAATGGTAACTATGTGACCCCTTTTTAAATCTATCATTCCAGGGAGGAATGCTTTGGTTGTCTGGAAAAAAAAAAAAAAAAAACAAAACAAAAAAAAATTGTTTGTTTGTTCCCTTACCCCCTTTTGTCACAATCGCACAGAAGAGACACTCACCCAAAAATGTGAAATAACATTTACGTCGAATGTTTTTTGAATTAAACTATCTGGAGTCTCTAAAAGGGGTCTTCCAGAAACGATTCCAGCATTATTAACGAGTATGGTTACCTGAAAAAAAAAAAAATCTTTTAATCACTCATATATATATTTATGTATTTCCGACAGAATGGAATTAAATAGTTTTTGTTAAGAAAGAAATATTATTATTATTATTATTATTATTATTTTCTATTAATTAATACATCATTACATTTAGGTAACCTTAATTTTTCATTATAATTTTTTTTTTTTTCAAATATTTATAATTAAATAATTACGTAATAAAATTTATTACCGCATACGCAATTTATTTGTAATTCTTATCTAGTCAACAACGGTTTAATGCTGTAG